ATATATATATATATATATATATATATATATATATATATATATATATAAATAATTAAATTTGATAACAATCTAGGCTAATGTTTTCTTTTTTGTGCTGAAGAAAAATATATATCACATGGTATCATAATACCAGCTATAATAATAACAACAACTAATATTTGAATTATACACAAAATTAATATAGACAGATATTTTTTATTAATTTTTGAAATAACTGTTAATATTTTCAAGAAAGAAATTTCAAGTAATACCTCAATATTTTGAGGGCAACGTAATACCTAATAGAATAAAAACAATATTATATGAAATGTAAAAAAAATCTAATAATGAAGAAAAAAATAGCGAAAGATAAAAAAGCTTTTAAATGATATTCCAAGAGCGTACAAACAAATAATTTATTTTGTCATTCAGAGCTAGATAGACACGCTGGTTGCCATGCAAAGTGGTACTCCATGCCGTGAAGAACGGCAGGAAGCCGAGACACAATGTGTCTAGTTCGCTCGTATTTACCGAGCACACACTACTAACTGTGGTACAGATGTGTTTTGTATCGGACATGTCAGAGTTTCTCCGCTTCACGTTTATATAATGTTCTAGAGACGTTTGATGTTATATTAATAAGCCAAGTAAAATACATTTGTTTTAAATGACAGTCCACGTGTATTAGGATTTAGAACAATATATTAAGTAAAATGTTAGATTTTAAGGTATATTAAGGTTGGTATGGTCAGCATTAAAATCGCTTGATAATTGAGTTAAAAACTGAATGCATGCAAAAACGACTCTATGATCGTTTTAAAATTAGTGAACTTTGTTGTAAAAATGTAATCATTAATATCGACAATGCACTACCTCCTCTTTGCAGTTGCTTAGAGAAAAGTAAGTCTGATCTATTTATTCATTTGGGTGTCAGAGTTAAATGGCCTTTTTTTATTTTCATAAATAACTACGAAGAAATAATTCTACCTGAACAAAGTCGCAGGAAAGTCGTATACAAATTGTACGTTAGCACATATTAAATTGACATTAATATAGTATAGTACATATTAACGTTGTCGCTCGCTGCTTTATTTAGTCACTTATCTTAATTTACAAATAAACCAAGTAGTGTAATTATAATATTTTTTATCGTCGACGAAACAAGATGCTATCCAGTTTTATTGTCAATGCAAGCGGTACGAGGCGAGGTAGACAATATAGTTGCACCACCTACACCAGTAATAAACTTGGGAAAGGGAGTATAAATATACTGTGGTTACACCTAGTATTAGGGCTGCCAACTTCTTTTCATAAACGTAGCTTATCTTTTTAGTGCGAAAAATTATAAGAATATAATATTTTTAAGAAAAAGTTCTCCACAACACGTTACTACGGACTTGAAATATTTAACTACACATCTCTAAAATTTGGATAGTTCGGTATCTCTACATTTTATCAACAAATTATGATTAAAATAAGACGACAAGGATTATTATATGTTTGTAAATTTTCTTACAGGTAAGAATCTTTTTATTATATATAGTTTATAAAATGTAAAATATTGAAGATGTCTAGACATTTTCAATTATAGGTAGATATTTAACCGATTTAAAGAAATATAAATAAAGTTGGAACATAGATTGATCACATCCTAAATCTATATAAGATGCTTTTTATTTCAATTTACGTAAGAACTCGTTAGAGTACTCGTCCGAGTTATGTCGTTAATGTTTTATAGTTATAAAAAATAATATATTACATAATAATGTAATAACAAAATATTTCATTTTATATATTATACTAAGAGTAGAGTATTTTTGCATTTATGTAAAATATTGATTTTTAGAAAATAATAAAGTTTATAAAAATGCGGTTGGTAACCCTGCCTAGATGGCTATAACATACTTAATGAACAACAGACAGAGCTCTGATATAAAATGAAATAGGTATTTCTGTATGCACTGTTCATTCTGCACAGAAACAAATTATGCTAGAAATCTCAAATCTATATATAAAATTGAATTAATATAAATTTAAATTACTATTTTGTCATATATGCCATAAATACTTTGTATACACACTAAGTATTCAAGTATATCATAATTGCACATTCTTTACAATCGAAAATTATTTACATAGAAATCTCCTAAGTAGACGATCTGAAACTTCGTAATAGTAAGCAATTTCGGTTTCAACAGAATTAGTAATGTCTAATGAACGCTGAGGTGTTTCGTATATATATTAAAAATACTTAATACATATGTATAATACTTTATAAAATATTTTTTCTTTAAAAATTTTAGTTTAAAATATTTTAAAGTAAAAAACACTTTAATGAACAATTTATTTGTACAAAGGGCATAAACACTTGAGAATCAAAATAGAGTAAGACAAAGAACGACTTTTCTTAAAACATTGACGCATTACGTCAATGCAACAAAAGATAATAAAACGAGTTGTTTGCTACTAGCGTAGTGAGAGTTAAAACTACAAAAGAAATTAGAAAATGTAAGATAGGAAAATTTTTCAAAAGCATATGACAAAAGAAAAATAATATAAAAAAATATAACCATGGAAATTATGCAAGAATAAAAGGATTTATTTTTATACACTTATTTGCTATAACTTTAGTATAGTTTTAGTCAACCGGTATGCGTCGATCTCGTGAACGTAGTTACTGGATATTTAATCCAAAATAAAATAAAAAACATACAAAATCCCCCTTATATACTCCATTTCTGACAGCATTGCAATGAACCAGTTAACACTTACATAACTAAAGTTTAATACAAACACGACCTAGTTGCGCGGGCGCAGGAAGCCGCTAACCACCGCGGTCACGCCGTGTTTAAACTGTAATTAAACTGGGTTCAAGTCTGATTTATACACCAACTCGACTAATTTAAATTGTAATCGTGAGTAATCTTCTTTTCGGCTTGCATATTAAAGGGTTTATTTAAATAGTATCCAATACTAATTAAATATTGCCTACAATGTATATACATAATGCAAATACCAGAAAACTGACGAGTTTCTCCTTAGCTGTACGGTTTTTACCCTTGAACATTTTATAATTTTCTTTTAGCTTCTCAAAGGTTGACTGTAAGAAATCCCTCTATGGGAAAACTCCGCTCTTTTAATTTGTCCAACGTAAATAATGTACAATAAAGATTTTACAATACAATATAATAGAAATGATCATCTAAAATATTAAGTATTTTTGTAAAATATAGTGAACATTTGCAGACGTAAGCCTGATTAGAAAAAAAATGTAAGTCAATGTTAATGGAAATTGGATCTATCTGAACTGAAACAACGTGTCCATTATTGCTTAATGACATTACCTGTTTATAGTTAATTTTTTATATGATACTAAAATAATAGCTAATTGAATATTAATAAAATAAAAATTGAAATATTAATACAATATCTAACGTTAAAGAAAACAATGTTTTCTGTGTATTATTTGTCACAAAATAATAACTTAAAGTTTGTTTTGTTTTAGAAATTGTTCATAGTGCCAAAAAGTAGTCATTTGTCAGAGTCATGTCTATGCATGTACTATGTAACAGTTAAATTACCTAATTAATTTAAGCGTTACTTTACAAATATATCAATAAGTTTAACAAAATTAGTTTTTGTTTCTGTATATTTTCTAAATATATCTTATATCCAGTATAAGGAGAAACATTATGTAAAGTAGAAAATTTAGAGGATAACTTTATAGATGTACTAACCGTGGTAAACTTACTAATTTTAACCATGGTACTGTTCATGTCTATAGACGACGGTTATCACTTTTCGGTTTTTCAGGTAGGCCGACGGTTTAGTTGCTATTCTAAGTTGTATAAAAAGTACAGAATATTCAAAATATGTAATGTCATATTACAATTATTTTTTAATTTATGTAAAAACGGATAATTTTCCGTAGCTTTGCTCGCATGATTCGTACATAGTATTTCGTGGGAAGTTCCAAAAATCTTTACTCAATGCTAAATGTTAAATTTCATATTTCTAGTTTCAACAATTTTTGTTAAATGTTGATCAGACAGTTACCATCATTTTTACAAGCATATACGTTATATATTTAACTCATGCCATGCAATGAAAATTTTTCACAATTTGTAACGGTCCAAGTAATAAATGAGTGGAGACATCTTCCCAGCTCCGTATATGCTCAGGAAAACCTCCCACTCGTCACTTAGCCCATTAATCTTGCCCCGAATGGTCCGTCCGTCTATCACTGCCACTAATCTAATACGACACGCCAGCTTTTTGTCCCCATATTACTTGCACTCGACGGAAATACGACTTAGAATGGCCTTTAATCCGTCAAAGGATAACTATCCTTTTTCTGTCCGAGTCGAAAAATTCGAACAAAAGAACAAGTAAACGTGACAAAGTTACTAAAACACTAAATTTTTTTTTTAATGTATTAATCTACTTATATTGTATTTGGAAATTGATAAAGTTTATACGACTTTATGTAAATAATCTTACAGATCTACATATATTCTTACACACACTTCTTGTTTGGTAGGTAGGCACAAACTCTATATTTAGTAATTATTGTAATTATAAATTAAAAAAAGAAGATTATTTATAATATATATAGCTTAACGTCGTTTAAAAACTTTTGTCATCTACTGTACCTATACCTTAAAGGGAAAAGTAGTCAAAACCGCTTTTGTTTTGAATAAAAGAACCTTATACAAGAGGACTGGGAAAAAGAGGATATGGAAAGACATTGTCTGGTAAATCAGACGGATTCAGATAACGCAGACAATACCAGTATAATAAGCAGTCCGTTTCCGGCGAAGTTCAGACGAGACGAAAGCTTACAAGTCGTCAGGATATCTCTTGGACTATTTAGTATGCATGAGACGCAGAGCGGACTGTGCTACATGTAAATACGGCGCTCGCAACTTACTTCCGAAACGTTATGTTGAAACATGGTAATATTATTTTATATTTTATACAGTACATTGAAATGTACAGGAAAATTACTGCAAGTTACTTACCACATGTGAATGTGCTCTGTGCTCGTATCGCGATCTCAACGGCGCCGCGTCGCATGTCGCCACCAACGTCAATAATAATCCTGTGACGGCGACGACTCGCACGCACACGCCCATTGTCCTCCCAACCACTCCTGTGCACTCCCGTACATCCCGGACGAATTTAAATTTCAAATCAGCGGTCTGCCTTGAACTACCATCTATGTCAACCTCCACCCTCTTTTTGTTAATCGATTCTTTTCCGTATACGTCTCTTTTATTATGCAATTCGATTCGTTTTATTTCTCCGAATGTGTGAGAATTTCGCCTTTCGATCGTATCTTTATATTCGTATTTATCCATATTTATTCTACACCTATCTAAATCAGTCGTTTCATGAATTTCGTCTAAATTATCATTGGAATGATTATCATTGGTCATATTTCTACTGGTATTCTCTACTTGGCATATTTGTTTTGTCGCCAAACCAGTACCACAATCATGCATTGATGTTATTATAGCATTTACGTCATAACACTTTGGCGACTTTATGGCAATCATTGCACATACACTACGTTTGTCTGTATGTGTGGCAGTGGGTAAATTAGCTGACATTGTTTTGATCATTCTCGAATCGATAGCTAGACGTCAGCTAACCATAATAGTATCAATGATGTGAAAGTTGTCTCTCATCTATAATATATCTACGATGAGGGCCCTATCATCATTGTTTCCTGTTACCGTGTTCCAGATTAAGTCGGTGGACGGGATGCTGCGTTATCTCGCTTCGTGGGCGGTGTGAATGTTCTTTGTTTACTTAAAATATTCTTGTATGCACAAGATATTGAAGCGATTTCTGCAACAAAGTAAAGATATTATTCATTTTATGATATAAAGTAGGTATATTATAATGAATGTAAATATGGAATATAATTATTATTTTAGTAATTTATCCTTAAAGTGAAATGATTTCATAAAATAGCGACTGGATATTTATATTTAGAAGCAAACGACTTAATCTATGAATATCTACGTAAAGATATTAAGACCATCATTGACGGTTAATGCACATACTTGGGCATCTTAAGTAAATTTTACTGTAGATGATCATTATAAGTATATTCCTAATCTGTTGTAGCTAGTTACAATCTAAGCTGTAGAAAGATATAGAGTTGGAAGGAAATTCACAGATTCAATTGTGCAAAACCGTTATTATGCATTTTCATAGATATTTATAAAAAAAAAAGAACTTTTTTTATTACTCAAAGACATAATGGCATCTATATTTCAAATTTTATATTACGTGATCCAATACTACTAATATGTACATTGATTCAATATTTTTATTTAGAGTATTAAAGTCAACATTTTCCTTTACGAAGGAGAAAATCATATTAATAAATTGTTACACTGCAAATTTATCGATGAAAAATATCTTTAGTAAAAGAAGTAACCTTCTGAGCCCTTTTAATTCGCTATAAATATAATTATAAGGACTACAATAATTAATGATAGAGATAATGTGTTTCTTTCGCAGATAACGTGACAACATAGTAAACAGAAAATCCATTGATAACAATGCTCTCACAAGTTGAGGACAAGCTGTGTAATTGTTGAGCTGCAACTTCGCTGATAGTAAACAACTATAGTTGTGACCGCGAGATAACTCGTAAATGACATAAATCTTCATTTATCTATAAGAATGTACCTATTATGTAAAACTGTATTATAGACATAATAATATTAGCGGTTTATCATTATGTGATTTATTTATTTACTTTAGCTTCGTGGATTTATTTAGTTATCATTCCTATTTAAATTTTTGAGTAAATATATTCATTAAAGGAGTCTTTGTGCAATATTTCTGTTTTTTTTTTGATCCAGCAATTTAGTATAGAATGGTATCATTGTTTTTTAGCGTACTAACCTATTATCGCGAAAAAATATCATGAACGAATTATTATTTGACAAAGTACCTACGTACGTTATTTAAGTAGAATTAATATACAAGTAGATATTATTCTAAATATTTCTAAATATACTAAATAAAAGCATTACTAGAACATTGATGTTTGTTATACGAATATTTATGAATATTTGGTCCATTTTTTTTGTTCCCTCCAAAAAATTATAATAGTAAACTATATATTTTAACTTATAATAAAGTATTGTTACTATACACACATTTACTATACTTTTATTTTTCCGATATTCGCTTAGAAATAATTTTATTCAGCATTGAATTAAAAGAAGTAACTTGGTACTAAAAGTGCGATATCATCATATCACAATTTTTACCACTAAGTTACTAAACTGAAATTAATATTTAAAAACAGTACAATGGAAATATCGTATCATGATAGGTACATCTGTATTAGTGTTTATATCTCTGCTTCTAAGGACTGCTGTAATGTTTCTAAATCCACATTGAATACTTATTAATAATATATTTTAAAGTTATATACTTGTAGCTTTTAAATATATTATAGATATATAATACAGTCATTTGAAATGCCTAAGTATCTATATTTATAATGTTTGTATATTATAACAAGAAATTAATAGTACAATTGTAATTTGTTATTTTCGACTTAGACTGGGTATTTTAATTCTTATTTTATATAATTTTAATTTAATAACAAGATAATTTATGTATTGAAAATTATGTCATAATATAGGGAAAATAATTTTGCTGTAGTATATTATTAAACAAGAAAACAATGTAGGTTAATATCAATTTTATACTTGGAATTTTTAATTTATTCTAGGAAAATATCAACATTTCCGTATGACGGTTGAAAGGCTGATATATTCCAAGAGAAAATGATAAATATCGTTTATCATTGATGAATAAGAATGACAATTAAAGGTTTTTCTTGGTTGGCCTATTTCATATAGGCAAGTGCGTACAGTATAACGATGTCCCCACAAAGTTCGCAGGGAGTCATTAGTTGATATTGGTTCCTTTTCTATTTACGATTGTTCTTAAGACATTTATTAGGGAAGAATAGTAATTGAGGGATATTAATAGTTATTATTGACAACTTTTGACAAATCTCCCCTTATGGGAAAAGTTCATGTCCAGCAGTGGACAGTTAACGGGTGAAATAATAATAATAGTTATTAGAAATAAAACTTTATCGGAACCTTATAGAAAACCAATGTAAGAGAAAATGTAAAAATTAATATCTGAACGTATTTCCAAAAATATCTGAACAATATTACAAAATTGAAATTAGACGATGTCTGTGCGTGGGAGAAATTTAAGAAAAAAAATCTGAGGGGGGTCTTAATGAAAGTAATAAAAACCCCAACAATACTTTTTAGCTTTTTTGTCTATTTGTCTGTCTCTATGTTTGTTCCGGCACCATGCAAAAATTATTGCACCAAATTTTCATTGTTGTATTTTTTGAAGGTTTAACTTATAAATATTATACGTTATCGTATGCTTTATATGTTTTTTATACGCTATTCAGTGGTATTCTGAAATTCATGCGTCCGATGTAGCGGCCATAAAGTTACTTACTAATACACAGGACTGGTATCTTCGATGGCTACTGTTTCCAATTTTTGCATAAATATTTTAAATTTTGCAAACTCAATACTAACTTAGACACATTATTTTATATAATAATATTTGAAAATTATAATTTATTACATTACAATTACATTATTTAAATAATAAATTAATCTTAATCATAAGTATTTTTTTACAAAATTTTCTGGATTTTACCACCGTATTTGTAATGTAATTTTCTATTGAATTCATGTAATATAGTATATTGAAAAGTGTTTGAAATTATGATCATTTGAGAGTACATGAATGAGTTTGCGCATTATTCGATAATAAAGGATATGGGGAAATGGATGAATGGAATGATTTGAAGTTTTTTTCAATAGTCGTTAATCTATTTCGCGATACGCACACTACCATAGTGACGGTAATGATATTTACGTAGTAGTTGAAACATTAATTACTTCATCCTGCCTTAAAAATACATTAAATATACCTATACAGCGTGCTCAATAAGTATTTACATAGATGGTATATCTTATGTAATTATACTTGGTAAATTTAAACTTAAAAAAATTCTCAGTAATTTCATATTATAAACTAAAAGTCACAGAAGGTCATAAAAAGTTCGCTACTGAGAGCGTTTTACGAGATTTATCGATTATAACTAATTAACACAAACAAGGAAATATGAACATTATTTTTTATTATAATTAGCTATTTGAACTGTTTATTAAAAACAGAAAAAATAATTAATAAAGTTCATTTTAGCACTCAATAGGACAATAATTTGTAATTAAAAATAAAATGAACATACGTTGTTAAATTTATAGATTATCACTATAAGAGCATAGGGGGCGAAGTAAACAGTTAGTTTATTAAAATCACTTCTTTCTGATCAAATCATCACTACAGTAATGGTACATTCTTATAGCCAAATATTTGTTCATTTCTAGAATCAAACCAGGGCACATCGATACTCAAACTTCTGTATAAAAAAAAAAACTTAGAACTTAGCAATAAAAAAAGCATTGAATATTCAAAATGTAACTAAAACCAAATTCGATTTTATGTTGTGTATTATAAAAATAACTACTAATGCAACTTAAATTATTGATAATTAAGGTAATAAAAATTGCATAAATAGTACAATAATTACTATCTACTAAAGGAAAAAGAGTGAATGAAAAGAGATGTAAAGTTTTGATCATAAGTTGTTAAGTTTTCAGGTAGTCTTCTGGAGGTTTGGCTGAAATCGTGCAGTTAAATATTATACTTGTTCTCTTATTTATCTTCCTTAATTTTTAAATTCGTTTAGAATACAATTTCAAAAAGTTGATGTCCTTTTTAGCAAAGCTCATTTTGAGCATTAGACAACTAAAACATTTAATGAATTCTTTAGATTCATACAAATTGATTATAGAGCTAGTATCTAATCATAATAAAGCTCTAGAAGATAAATTACACTTACAAATTTTATAACACGCATTTACTTTAAATTATCTTTAGCAAAATAAATAAACTTTTAGTTATCTTGTTAGAAAGAGTTAAATTAACACAATTTTAAAGGCAACAGCCAATCTAAATATTTAAAGAAGTTAAGTAAGCTTGAGACTAGCTTAAGATACAAATTGATAAGTTCTATTTATTATTATTCTATATATTATAAGTAGTTTACCATGTATAATGATCTATAAAAATAGCCCATTTTTTTAATATATATCTATCTATCAACCTATCAATCTAACTAATATAAGTATATTAATATAAACCAAGTATAAACTACTTGTTAGAAATATTGTTAGTTGTATAAAATATTGGACAAGTTAAACGCAATGTAGGGACTAAGTGTGTCTATTTATAAATGAACGCTGGTTTAATTACAGACATGCACATGACTGTGAGTGCTCTACAAATAAATATAATATTTGTAAATTTTACATTAATAACAATTTAAATTTAATTAACATATTTTTAGTTATTTCGTAAAGATATGGTTTGCTTAAATATTATTTCCTAACTTTAAAATTAACGTAAATAAAATAATATTAATTAAACGAAACTAGAGTTTTTAAGAAAATAAAAAACACGCACTAATAACACTTACATTTTATCAGTTCGCTCTATTTTTCAGTAAAGAAAATCATGAAAACAAAAGTGCTCGATGCAGTCCGACCTCCCTTTCCCTTTCGAGTAAACAGAGAGGGACAACAAACGAGCTTACACAGCTGACACTGAAAGCACTGCGAACAACTTCAGAATTCACACATCGAAACAACTTACTCGAAAATGGTAGAGCTAGCTAATTCGTTAAAATAAAAGAAGAATCGATTGGTAACAAGAACAGACACAGGCACCGATATACTATCTACGTCAGTATATAGAATTGAGTACAACACTGTATATTTTTTTAAGTCCATTCAATACTAACGTTTCGTGAATGAAAATAAAGTGTCCATGAGCGTAACGCTCGGCACGTTCGCCGCGACCACGCGACACTTCGAACTAACTTGGGCATGGGCAGCGAACCGCTTTGGGGGAACGGCAGTGCATGCGCCACGCCGATACCCGAACCGAAAGCCCAACGCGGACAGACGGACCAAATGAGCTTTTTCACACGAACGATTGCAAGCGTTTTATTAATTATAAACCGTCAGCCCTGTAGACAAAGTACATTTCTATCAGCGATATTGCTGGTAAAAAAGTTCGAATTAAATGGAACAGATTTAAATTTGGAAACGAATCTTTCGTATTTATTTAATTTCTTATCTTTATCGTGTAAAAATTTGTAAACGATATCGTTAGTAAAAAAGTCCAAATTGAACTAAGTTGCTACGATATTTGTTGCGAGATTTTTTTCCGACAAATTTATACAATTCTATTAACGATGTAACTAATATAAAAGTTCAAATATTATAAGATTGATTATAAGCGGTGAAATTTGCTTAGATATATTTATCGATCGTCTATCTAAAATGATATCACCGATATCGCCAAAAGAATATTATAAATTGTATGGAATTTATCTATTCTCTTGTATGAAATTCATTTCAATATTTTATATCAATCATGTGCAACTAACATATATTTAAACTTACGACCAGCGATATCGCTAATATAAATGTACTTACAAGAGAATAACTATCGAACAATATATCTAAAAATATTTAATAAGTGGAAAAAGTTTTTTTTTATTTACAATTGTGCATTCTAGTATACAATTATAATTAGTTCCAATTGATGTGAAACTATATGTATATCTGCTTTTAAATGATATCTCATTATTTCGTGTGTTCGAGTGACAAATACTTAAAAACGATGGAAGTTACGTTCATTGTAATCATTGTTTGCTTTTTATTGGTTATGGTATGGAACAAATAACAAAGGAACATTCACAAAGACATATAATCAAATTATAATGAAAGCAATAAGATTTCTTATGACAGAACACCCAGATTTAGGATAGGACATTTAATACGATAAAAAAAAACATCAACGTGGTAGCTATAGTATCTGTAATTATTTCGGTTTAAATTATATTAGTACCCACTATTGTGTGAATGTATGAGAATTAGATGCATGTAAATGAGTATATGCGGACGAGTATCTACTAATTAGTGGAATACCAATTTCATAATCAAAATTCATAAGGCAATGAACTGTGTGCCCAGATAAATAGCAAAATTTTCTATTTCCAGATACGTTTACATTTCAGCCGTGGCAAAGTTAAAATAACCTTTTTCTTACTGTATAAGACTATTTACAGTTAGAAAAATCGTTGACGTTAGTGATGCTATCTCATTCTTTTTTGTACGTGTGGTAGCGTAAACGTGTTTGGAAAAGGAATAGTTTGCACTTGTCTATATGTACACTCGCCAGTCTGCGGTAGTGAATTGTGTCGTGTGAACAACCCGAGTCTACGTAATGCGTCGGTGTGCGCTCGGCCGGCGCTTTGTGTTGGCATTATTTTGGACGCACAATGAAGTGCGTACGGGAACAATTTCGTTTGATTAAAATTTCTTTCGGTTTTTGCGTGACTGGCTTTGTTTTGTACGCGGCTCCTGTTTCCGCATACTCTTTGTGAACGATAAATTAGGGGATGTTTGCGACTCTATGCATTCAAACAAACTATTAACACTAATATATATATATATATATATATATATATATATATATAAGAGGCTTTTGTAATGCATTACAAAAATCGTTCAAATTTAAAAATGGAATCGATTTTCAAAATAGTAGTCTAGTTTGACCCTTCCTCGTTTTCAGCAAAATCGTACTCAATTCAGAATCCCAAGAGCAATGTCTAGACTTGAATAAACTTCGCTAAAATCTGTTTCGTTTTTAACCAATACTTTTTTAGAATAGCAAAGATTATGTACTTTTAATGAGATTTTAATATTAAAATAACTAGTATTAGGCAAATATTTTTAAGATCAATATAAACAAACAACTGTATTAAATAAATAAACTATTCTATTTTGTTATAAATGCAAAAGTTTGTGAGCGTGTACATATAGATTGATGTTTGTAACTCTTTCACGCTAACATTATTGAATGGTATTAAATAAAATTTGATACATGGATATGTTATATCTTAATATATACTAATGCACGTAAGCAAAGATACGGAATACAGGTAATATTATGTTATTATCATATACTACTATAGCAACATAATGATAGAGATAAAAATATAACATAAAAATACTTTAAGATATAAATATAGTTCTGTAACACAAAAGTATTATATTTATAAATGAAATTATTATTTCTATTGTTAATACCAGGGTCACAATATACACAATCTGTGCAAATATAACGTAGTTAGATATGTAAACAGAAGAACATCTGGAAACTGGAAATTTAAAAAAAAAGTACGCCTACTCAATAATTTCATCTTTATTTTTTTTTTAATTAGACATAGACCCAGGTCGGCATAATTTTTTTTTTCTTAATTCGAAGTATCTGCAGCACAACTAATGTACAAATTTTATATTAATGTTGTTCCGAGTTATACTGTCATACCCACAGAAGGTACAAATAAATATCTTACCTAAAAAGGATAGGATGTCTCTGTGGATTTATTACAAGAAGCGCCTGCTTCACTTTTGTTTTTATATTACATCTACTTAATACACCAACACAGGCTTGACTGTCACGGGCTGTAATATAAAATGCTATAAATAAATAAAAAGACTTGTCTGTTTTTGTATTGTCTGTCATAAGAACAGCATATATTGCAAGGGTTAGAAACTTTAAATTTTGAATAAATATAACACAAATATTTATTATTTACTAATTTCTTAATAATAATTGATTACTAAGCTACTCTTTTTCCCTTAGTGTTGTAAGAGGCGACTAAGAAAACTTTATGGTCGTGAGATAAGTAGCAGAGTCCCTCTTAAAACATCCCAAAGCTTAACTGCGGTTACCAACCCGCCTGCCAAGCGTGGCAACTACTGGCAAACCCCTCTTATGGCGGCGGCCCATACTCAACAGTGGACAGTTAACTGCTGATATGGTGGTGATGAATTGCTTTTTTTATATGTTTCTCTTAAAATAAAAACAGATTTTATTAACATTTTTGAATGATTATTCTCGAAACGGTTTTTACATAGTCCTTCCCTTACTTTGTTATTAAAGTGAAAGTCTGTTATTTTTGCTTAAAATTTTTAGTAATAGGTACTGTTAGCAAACGGCGGCGATTTCATTTCGCTGGCATTCATTTTACCTATACTCTAGTTAGACTCTAAAACAACACGCAGGCCTATGAATATAAATTTTGTTTATATCCACCAAACAAACATGAATCCTGCTTTATAAGAAGCAGTTAAATATAGTGTCGAGTATAGTATAGAGTCGAGTAGTCGAATATAGTATTCAAATAAAATCACCTCAACCGTTATCACTGCTTACTGAATTGATAGATACATATAGACAAGCAAAAAATCTATAAATTTTAATTCTAGATTATACAAAATACTACAAAATCTCATCCTCTTTAGTGTTTATAAATATATCTTAAATATTGCTTAAACGACCGACTTCAATAATAATAACATTATGTTGAATTCGTTTGAAAATGAAAGGTTGTTTTCAAAATTATCAATTAAAAATAAAACGATCGCACAAATGTGATGAACAGCAATTCCGGACAATTTGGTGTACGTTTGAAAAAAATACGTGCCGAACCCTCTCCTTTTTGACATTATTTACCCAATCTGTTTTCATAGCACCGTGATGAAAAGCAGTATCCTTTAACACATTTGATAGTAAACGACTAAGAACAAGGAATAACAAATCTTTGGTGAACGATTATCATAGTCTGAACGCCCGCAACGACAGAGATACGAGTACATATCACTTGCACGTGCCAACCCCAAAGAAATCTTATCTTACTGACATATCAATGTTACGGTCTAAATCCTGGTAGGGTTAAAAATTTAATGTTTAATATTCATGAAAGGATTTAACAAACAGGAATGGGAGGATGATATCAGATTCACGCAGACGAAGCAGTGAGAAATAGCTAGTTGTTTACATCTCACATCGTGTTTTTACTAAACTATATTATATATACCTACATTATATTTAATTTGTAATGTTATTTACATGTAGAGAATTCATAACAAGTTTTATAAATACCTTTGGTAGTCTTAAGATTATATGGCAGTGAATTTACAGGGTACAGAGGAATAACACTTAAGTCCTCAGAAATAGCGACGCATGGATGGTATCAGGGGCGAAACAGTATACTCTGCTATGTCCATGGTACTGCTCATTTGCCATTCTAAGTTGTGTGTGTGTGTGAGACACCATCTGACTAAGTAATTCTGTTAAATGGAGACTGGCGCTGCTGTAGCGCATCCGAAGATTACTGACCAATACAAGTATTCATTTTGTATCTACTGTTACCCCATGAGAACCGAAGGCTTCAATATGTATTCCTGTGCAAGAGAGAGTGTAGGAGAGTTCTAGAGACATTAAGCCACCAGAAGATTAATCTATTAATATATACTATTTCGTTAGATATTGATATATTAATAATTTACAACATGGATTAGTATTTCTGCAATACGTTAACTGTTTAGTATAGAAGCAACATACAACATTTAAGGAAATAACGATAAGTATTTCTTGTATTTAACGGAAATAAGTCATAATAATAATTTGTAACGTAGATAATTATGTCATACATGTTTCAGTTGAATATATAGTTCGTTTTCCAAATCAAGTCATTCATATTTCCATATTCGTAAGAAGATAACAATATTAAATGCAATTATTTATTTATTAGTGTATTTGTACTTGTACATATTAATATAATTTAAAACTGCGTTGAAACTGGTACCACTGTTAGACAAGAAAATCGTAATAAGATTCCACAATAAACATCGACTTCAGTTGCGGCAAACCAGTTCTTTTGACTTAACAAACTAAACTACTTAACTGATTTTGATAAAATTTCTACGAGACCAATCTATAAATACCTATAGCCTTT